AGTTTCTATTCCTGTGTCTTAGCCGGCAATAGATCCTACCAACTGTTCTATAAGAATAAATGACTTTATCTAGTTCTGACCAGTCACATTTTGATTTAACTATGACCTTGCCTCTCTAAAGTTCTGTCCTACACGATACAATATAAGAAGAGCAATTTAGCTAGGCCGATTTGACAGAACATCTAGGGATTTAATAAAACCATTGAATTTCTCGACTACATCAATAAACGATATAAAAGAAGCAAACGGTGAAAGAAGCGCCAAATAAGAGGAAAGTTTACGATTACCTAAAGTCCCCATACATGTAGGCCAATAATTTAAATAATAGCTGCGAAGAAGGACGGTAAACAAGGATGACCACTAGAGTTGTCACTGGTTGTTGACTCTGTAGACATGCCGAAAAGGGAGAATTGAAAAACCAGGCGTAAAACGTACCTTCCTGTAGACCGCCGACACAAGGACCGAGCGAATATTCATGCCGATTATACCCTGTCTTCGGAAGTACTGATGCAACACAAACGACTGAAGCATGGCAACCAGAAACATGCTGCTGGCGTACAGGTAGCCATGCCACACCGGCTCCCCAGTTTCGTCCTCCAGAAAGCTGATAAGGCGTCTGAGTAAGAAAAAACAAGGAATTTAAAAGTTACACAAAGCTGGTGTAAACTCGGATCTCTAACCCATTGAATGGCGTCAGAAAGCTAGGTAGAGAATGAGAGAGAAAGAGAAGCAAGGCATCTCTTGGATAAACGCAAAAGACTTCGGGGTTTCACTAATTCCTAACAAGCACAAGCATTTGACGACAGACGGCTTTGAGGGGTCGACGACGAGAAGCTGAGAAGAAGGAGCTTTCTGATGCGCATTTAATTGACTGCTGATGTTTCGGATGGTTGGGTAAACTATTCACTGTCAAAGCGCTTACTGCGCAAAAGCCGAACAAAAAGTCAAACGGCTTGTGGAGTCTGTCATCTTTTTTCGGCTCTACCTGATTGTCTGTTGATTGTTCGAACGCCGTAGGTGAACCGCCTACATTATTAAAGATCATGCCAAAGACCGATAATTGACTTTGTGAAACAATTGTCAAAATAATAGCTTCTGAAGTGAGCTTATTTTTAAACTGTTACTTAAGCCCACTGCCGCCATCTTATCCTAGTCTCTCTACAGCACCTGGAATCCCAAAAAAACCAATCGGTGGAAACGTGTAAACCACAACTCTAGCGTTATTCGGTCGGTCTTTAAAACGCCTTGCTCTAAAATAGTCCTTGTGCGGGCTTTTCAAATTGAGCCGCCAGTTTTTTCCTTCCCTCTCTTTGCATGCAAATTTTCTTATATATACGTCGGTTGGCCTAATTCGCCAATTGAAGACCGACTTTTATCCCTATTTGTTTAGTCAAAGTACAACGAGGTCATAAGTGCACTAGGTCACAATATCAGCGCTGTTTTGAAGGCAGTCCAATTTGGCCTACATTCGACGACCTTTTCTAGGACACTTAACCGCGATGTCGAAAATTGCAGTCATTGGCGATTATGGATATCTTTTTATATCCCGATGTTGTAAGTTTGTGCGCCTTATTTATTCCTTTTGAATTTAGGACGTTGTTTCGGTGAACATTTTGAAATGATATTTTCAAAATAAACTGCATCTCTCTCTCCTAGTTTCTAAATAAACAGTTATCATAAGCCAATATGGTAGTGAGAAAAAGCCGAAATGGCAAGAGTAACAGACATTTTGTCGGTCAAAAGCCGAAATAGTCAGCGCATGCAACTCGAAGTTCTGCTTGTTTTTCATGCAGTAAATATTCCGACGGAGGATGGCGGACCTGTCTGTTCGTCAGACTGGTGTAAAAGCCCCTGATCATCACAAAAGTTGTATACAGACGAACATATCCGATTGAAATTCTATCGCCATCACGTAAACCAAGCACAATGGGTGAGGAATGTAAATGGGAAAATGAATATTTCAAATACATGTTGTTTATTAACCCACACCTTTGGTGTCACTCTCGGGTAGATAATTACAACAGCCACCTTGGTGTCACCGTAGTAGTATAAGGCAGATTAACAAGATGGTAGTAGGCAGATAGTACTGCCGGTAAAAGGAGACTGTAATGGCCATTTCTGGCTATGAGCCATCGTCAGCCAGTCATACCCAGACCGAAAAGGAGCCCCACATGAGCCTCAAACTCGCGACCTTTTTGATCAGAGCCAAACGCCCTAACCATTTAGTAATGAGCTCGTTGTCTGGCCGGCTCGGGTGGGGCTCCACATAGGTTTGGTTATGACTGGCTACTAGCTAATAACCAAGAAATGGCCATTAGGGTCTCCCTTTTATTTTCAGACATTACTATCTGCCTACTAATACGGCTGTCAGGGCCTCCGTTGAGGCCCAAGGCATCGCGGGACGCACGAGTTCCGTTAGCGGTCAGGTGAACGTTCATCAACGGGATAAACAAGACAAATGAGAAAATTCATCGAGGTATCACCGATAAGCCAAGTTTGTAAGGACTCGTCAAATAACCTATGGAAGTGCCTATTGTCAAATGATTTCGTTCGGTCCATTGTAGAAATCAAAAGAACGAAGGCTTAGAAAAATGCTTTACAGCAATAAACTTTATTTTTTATTCAAATTTGTGAGAAGCGTGCTATAAAGAAACAACACAAACCTACAACGAGAAGATCATTAATGAGCCGGTTAAAGATACTTTTCTACTATTCACGTGCACAGAGGGCTATAACTGGCTACTTTTCTGCTGTGTTATCAGTTTAGTTAGGGGATATTTGGTAGTTTTCACTAAAAAACAAACAGCTTTCCCGCGTGGACTTCAGAGAGAAGTTGTGTACTTTGCAGGTATTCAGAGCACACTCGCCGTGATCTGGTGATCACCAGTTTAAAGTTGTCTCGTGTTAACCATAAGTATTCAGATGGCCCTTATTCTTCTGCGATCCTCGTAGAAAGTCCATGCCCCACCCCGATGAGACTGGATGCGCAATTGGCATGAACTCCCTGTCCAATCAGATTTCAGAATACATTTTTCCGAGTAGATTTGCCGGAGGGGAATTGGTCAGCAATTGGTATGCATAATTACTGCATCCTTATTATACCAGACAGATGGATTCAAGGTAACAGCCCAAAAATGCCATCCCGTCAACATTGGTAGAGAGAAAGCAAGGCTTACTTGAGTAGAAGAGGACCACAGAAGAGGAAAATATCATGACAGAGTTTGAAGAGGGCAGAAACCAGCATTGGCGGCCAAAAAGTGGCAAACAGGGCTGTGATGAGACCGCAGTTTAATTTCGTTTTGATAGGCTTCTCTCGCTTTGCAGGATGGCTCGCATTGTCGCTGAAACCCTTGCCGCCGTTGTTCGGCAGATTCGCCCCTTTAGGACTGGTGGTCATAGTGGGATCCGGCTTGGAAAAAAGAAGCAGAAGTACGTATTAAAATGTGAACAAGTTGAAACATTAGAAGCACATCCTACATCGTCCAAAATGTCTAATATCCAGTCCAAATTAAACGAAGACTAGACAATAGCATTTCAGTTCTTGATTTACAGTTTTTACACATCTAGACCAAGAGGTCGATGAGCACTGTTAATGAGTGTAGAAGTTTAAAAGTCAACTAGAATATAGGAAAATATGTTCTCCGAAATACCACGGCCTTGCCTTAAAGGTACAAACGTGATCAACTAGGAGAATGCGAAGCTTCCTGGAAGAAACGAAGAACGACCGGAGAGATTTAAATGACAACTATTAGGGGGTTTGGCAGATTTGCTTGGTTCGAGTTGACCCAATTCTGAAAAAACTCGAGGCGCTCGGCCGGATTTGAACCCGCATAGTAGAGAAGGCCTTTACTGGAAGCCAACGCTCTAGCCGCTTGAGCTACAAACGCCCCACCTCGCGCCATGAATTAAATCACACTTGGGTCGAGTTTACCAGCCCAGCTTTACCGCTCGTATGGAATCCACCAATACGGAACAGCAAGCTGACTGCCCAAGCAAAATTTCCTAAACAATTATCTAGAATGCACCAGAATGACTACCAGGCTGACTTAAGTTGGGCGGGTAAAATCGACCCAGGTGTGATTAAATTCATGGCGCGAGGTGGGACGTTTGTTACTCAAGTGGTTAGAGCGTTGGCTTCTGGTAAAGGCCTCCTGCACTATGCGGGTTCAAAACCAGCCGAACGTCTCGAGTTTTTTCACAATTGGGTCAACTTAAATGACAATTATTGAGTTGTCGCTGTACGCAAGCAATTTCTTCAACCACACGCCCGGAAACCTAGAATTCGAGCCCAGTTTAACAGCAAGGTAGAGTGCTAACTGCTACCAATCAACTGACGGACCCGCAACAGGGAAGGTACCATTGGAAATAATTCAAAGATGTGAGAGTCACATATACTGAATGGATCTGCCGACAATGAACCGCCAAGATCGAAGAGTAGCGTCACCGCACTGAAAAGGCAGTAATAACTTACGCGTGGTTTTGCAGTGAGAAGGCCTTATAAAGCCTTGACTTCACTCTTTCCTAGCTTGGAAAGCGTCCACAATTTAGAGGGTGGAGAGGGCCCTAATGGACCAGTCTTCTCTGTCGTCTCCCAACCAATATGCACCAATGACGAGTCAACAAGAAGCTAGAAAATGCCCGAGTTTTAATTTTGAAAAGGAAAGTTCTTTGGGAAAATAAGATAAATTTATTCAGTAAATTTACGAGACTAATTATCCAGCTCGTCTTCTCAGACTTCAGAGAATGTGCAACGAACAATTAAAATTTCAAAGTCGCAGAAAAAGCCAATAGTCATCAGGGGTGAGCGCTGGTCGGCAGTTGTTGCTTATGTCAGTTCGTATTACTCGGCTCTCGTCGCTTCGATCGTTCTTTGAGGTGTTTATAGATAACATCTAACTCAAGAGATTATCGGCCCTTTTTTGGGAGGGGGGCGAGGGGG